GCGCAGGAGATATTATAGTGCACAAGTGTACGCGCCGACATAAGTGCATTCTCTGTTCCTGTTACTCTCGTACTCCGGTGGGACGACTACTCGACACAACCGGTGAGAGGCAAGGCGCAGGATTGATGGCTTTACGTGCTCTCCGAGGCACTGGGGTGAAACACCGCCAACTTCCCAACTCCGGGCTGACTTACTAAACAGAAAGACTCAATAGCTAAACTTGGCCTGACCTGGGCCTTGAACCCAGAACCTCTCGATGTACAGCCGTACTTGCTAGCCACTACACCATCGAGGCAGTTTTAATATTACTTATGTGAGTAATGCCGTTTGTTTCTGTGTTTTCCGTCCTAAACCCCAAGTTTTTTTTACGTTTTATACCTTTTGAAGCCTGCACTGTCCGATGTCCGAACGATATCGGTATCATATCGGCAGAAGTGCGTATCGTTGCATCCCTATTTTATAGGTAGTAGGTACTATACTGTAGATAACTAATGCCCGATTTCACCAACGTCACCTAAGTTTAGGGGATCCCCTAAGCATGGTTAGGGGGCTGTTAGGGGACAGTTTCTGTTTCACCGACAGTTAGGGGTCACCTAAATGTTAAAAGGCCCCCTAAATTTAGGTGCTCGAAATATGGGCTTAAAGGTGATGGTAAAACGAAATTTAATTTAGTGGCTAGATTAGGGGAATTTTAAGCTTGGGATCCCATACGTAGATTGTTGGTTGTTGGTGAAATCGGGCATAAATCTCATAATCAGACTAAAAAAATAAGATAGACGGAGCGTGCAGAAGATACGACTGAAGGGAAAATGTAATAATATCGAAATATTTTCTATATTTCTATGACTTTATTTAAAAGGATTATTTCTAGATTATAAATACATATATTTAAAGTAGCATTGCTCTACCGCTGTACCTGTGTCATGATTCTCATTAAAACAAGGTAAACTACATAGGTAAAAATAATTAGGCAATTCGTAGTAAAACCTCGTCGGAAAAAATCTATTTTGTATACTAAATACTAATACTTTTATGGATTCTAACTAAGACTGCTTTAGACATCCGCTTTTTCTACCGGACGACCGTAAATAAACTGAGATCCTTGTGCACATATAAGATATGCGGAATGAATGTTAGGTTTGAGTGCGGCTTATCGACTCAATTTTGAACTTGTAGCGAAATAGATTACATATTGTGTGATAATGTGGAACTTTAAGAAAAAAAACTCATATTGGCGTATTATACATACAAGAAAATCAAAAAGAATTAGAAAAACGTAAAAAGTCAGTGTGGGTACATCCTATATTATTGGAAAGAAGAATATAGTGCATTTCATACTCTTTTTGAGAAGTTGGAAACAGCACCTAATTTCCAAAAAACGAGCGATGAGTCCGGTAACGTCTACACTCACCCATACATGGGCATTGGTGACCGCACATTCTTATGCCGGACCGGCGTCCGTCCGCCGAAGGCGCATCCGGCGTAAATTTGTTGCCGGATAGGTATGGATTATAATGAATGTGTGTGCATTCATTATAATCCTTACAAGACTGCGACTCCGGCAAAAAAATCGGTTCGTCGTCCAGTTGAAAAAACGGACGTCTACAAGCGGCATAAGAGTGCTCATAGTTGAGCACAACTTACTTCACCAATATCACGTAGAATACAGAAGACACAATAGCAGGTATAAATTTATGTTTGTATGTATTAGTGATGTAACGAATATTCGCATTACATTCGCATATTTTTTGACATTCGCACTTGCATTCACAAGAAACAAGAAAAAAGGAAATTATATATGGAATTGATGAATATGGAATGATAATACAACTGTCATTTACTCATGTTTTTATATAACTTTGTCACTTTTGAATAGGTATTAGTTAAATTTGACACAACAAATCTTTTCCAATGAACCTAACATCGTTTGTTCAACCAGCTGTGTCGGCTCGGCTATGTTCGTTTTAAACATGGCCGACACGAAATGTCAAACTAGATTGTTTAACATTTTGCACGCGCTGTATTTGTTTAACAATCGCATTCGCATTCGCCAAATTTAGAAAATGGAGATAAATATTTGCATTCGCATTCGCATTCGGGAATGTTAATAATCGAACATTCGTTACATCACTAGTATGTGTATATAATATATATGTATATCTGTATTTATAATTGAAATTTAAAGTTACGCCGTATATAAATCATATTAAAAAAAAACACTACATAGAAATAAGATATGTATTTTACACATCAAAATAAAATAAGATACATACTTTTGTAACATTGACGACTTAGTTTTATTTTATTAGTGCGATAATAATTCAAAATATCATTGGCTAATCTCGAACGTGACTCCATACAACGTGACATTGGCGAAATAATTTGTTCTCAACTGGCTCGCAATAAAGCTATTAAATAAAGAAATGAATTCAATTGAATAGTCTTCTAAACGATCCATCTTTATTCTTTTAGCCTAAGACCTCAATATATTTAGATATGCCTAATATTTTATCTAATAATTTTTACATACAAGTATAATTATATCTTTTTATATATCTATAACTATACATCTAATCTCTTAACTATTGGAAGACTTTTGTGATATTGTTTGTTGTGATAATTCTTGGTTTTTCTAAAACTAGATTAATAATATTTTAAATTTAATACTTATTATACATAATAATTAGAATATAAGAATCATTTCAATTATTATATTTACAACTTACGTTCTTTGGATATTACGAGAGAGATGTATCTAAGTGACGTCGACGAATATATTTACTTATATATATATATATATATATATATATATATATATATATATATATATATATATATATATCCTTACCCACTAGGGAAACCTAATTACTGGCCTTACCTTCTAGTCTACATATACTAGTCCCCGCGCTTCATTCTATTAAAGTAGCCTTATTATAGATTTACTATAATTATTAACAAAAACTTATAAATAATAATATTTATTGAAAATGACAAATACTAAGCATATTTAAAGGACAGTTTTAATTAAATTGTAGAATTATTGAATTTTCAATCTTATCGAGTTAAATTTACGGTTTGAATCATAAGAATGATACAACACACGTATGAATATAAAATGTATAGAGTTGCCTTTGTAAAATAAATGGTTCCTAACAAATTTTTTTTCTTTTTAATTAAAAGTTTGTACGGAGATTGTCTCTTTTGTAGATGTAGTGTTTCCGTATTTATGTTATCGATTTTTAGCAGTAGTTGACATTTGTCAGAATATTACCGACCTGACAGAATTTTACATCAAGTTGTTATCAATAGCATCAAAAATAGAATATTGGATTTATATGCGAAACTATCATTGTGATATCCCACGGAAATCTTTCAATGAACCGAGATAGAAAGAGTATAAATGTCAGTTATAATTAATATTATGATTAATATAATAATTAATATTAATAACGTAGAAAAATAGACGGTGGTAGCCAAGTGGTAACGCGCTCGCTTGAGAAATCGAGTGAAGGGGGTTCAAATCCCGGATCTCGCACCTCTCATATTTTCATGTGCGAATCATTTTTAACATGATTACCACTTGCCTTACGGTGAAGGAAGACATTGTGAGAAAACTTGAGTGTCTCAGAGAACCTAGCAAGTTTTTGAAAGACATGTGAAGTCCGCCAACCCACACCTGGTCAACGTGATGGACTATGGCCTCGTTGTGAAGGGAGGCCCGTCCCCAGCAGTGGGACGTTAAAAAGGCCTGAATACAATACAAAAAAATATTTATGGCACAGGCCTTCTATATTTTTCTTGGTCTGTGGTTCTTTTAATTAAAGTTAGTAAAGTAGTAATAGGTACTATAATATTATGATTCAGTGTTTGGACAGCACAGCAATGAAGATGGCAATGAAATGTGAGTTTTTATATCTTTTGTATTTTTTAATCTGCTGATTATTATTTTTATGTAAAACTCTTTCGTTTTCTTTTTGATATTTACTTAAAACATTTTTAATCGGAAATTATAGGCCTATTTTTTTAATTTCTACCAATAAACGTGCATGTAAATTATAGTTTAAAATAATAAAAAAAAAAACGAAATAAAACATTACGTTTTGTTCATCTATTTACATATTTACAGAGTACAATTTGTTCTATGTTTTTCAAATCCGACTACACAACGACTAATGTCACAAATATTTTAAATTGAAAAATTTAGGGAGTCAAATTAATTTGTCTTTGACCATTGAGATGTTATTATTTTTTTGTTGAAAACAATGTCTTTTTAGGTCTCCGACAGTAATTGACTGGTAGGTTAAAAAGGAAAAGAAATAAAAATATAAATAAATGAAAATAATTTAATAACGGAAAAACATCTAATGTAAGATTAAATATTATTATATTATGAAATAACATTAGTTATTTCTTTCCTAAGTTAATTATTTATTGTCTTTCGCACAGATCCTTCTTTTTAATATACACAGATTATAAAACTTATACTACAAGCTACAAATTATGCGATCTTGACGTATTTTTAAAAAAAAAATATTTTTCCCGCTTTTTTTTATACTAATGGCGGTGATCAACGGTTGTCTTCAAAAAAATGTCGAAGGTCGCAAAATTTAATGCCTAATATTTAATTAAAAATATACTATATGCCATGTACTTAAATACTATTTGAATATTTCATTATAAATGTAGAATGCTTAAATATATGAAAAGATAAACTTACCTAGTCCGTCAACGAAATCTGGTCATGCATATTTTTAACATATTAAAATAATTATAATTTATAGGCTTCGAATTGAAATCTTTTTATGAATAAATCGATAATATTAAAATATAAGATAATATTAATTCTTTTCTCGATATCGTTACATAGTAAAAAAAAAATATAATTTACTAAAACGAGATATAAAAAGCAAATTTATGTGTTTTTAATTTTTTCGTCTTTTCAATTGAATGCCTGGTCATTTTGTTGATTTTTTTTGTGGGAGTTTCGATGGTTTGGTTTACAAGAAAGGTGGTCTGTCACAGTTGCAAGCTGCACCGCCTTGTCCCTGCCTACATTGGAGGTTGCACCAAGATTGCCATCCTTCTATTGTATTTAGGACACGTAAATGCGCTAATTGTATTTGTTGCTTATTGGCGTCGTCACAAACTGGGCATCCTGTATAAAAGTATTTATAATTAATTTATAAGTAAAAAGGTACAGTGACTTTAAAAATTACTATTATGTACCTTTAAGGGAAATTTATCTATACATATAATAAAATTGTAACAAAGGCGAATCTGCACATTTTTTGGAAAATCTTATTGAAATAAACATTATTATGGATACAGAGGCTGAATCTATAGTTTTTAGAATTTTTGTCTGTCTGTCTTTCTGTTACCGCATCACATAAAAACCACTGTAGGGTTTTTGATGAAATTCGGTATGGTGATAGCTGGTTATCTGAGTCAACATATAGGATACTTTTTACTGCGGGAAAATATCTAATTTCTGAGAAAAAAATACAAAAACTGCAATGTAAGAGTATACTCATAATATGTAAAACCTAAGAATTTGGTTTTTGGTCATCTGAACGCGGGCGGAGCCGCGGGCAATGCTAGTAATATATATGTATTTAAAATTGTATGTATTTATAATTACCGTCAACTTTTATATTATGACTTATTTCCAATGCAAACTGAACCGCTGGTTTTACTAACAACAATATTGTTGTAAATTGGATCATAATTGAATCGGATTGATGTGAATTGAATTAATGTTCGAGGTTCATTTTAGATTTTGTTTAGAGTGCGACATAAACTAAACGTCTTACAATGCTCACGAGTCACGGTACGAAATGCTGAAACGATTCATTTTAAGTCGTAAATAAGCAATAAGAGTTGGTGGTAGATTCTCAGATCGGTAAGATTACTATTTGAATCATTTTTAATAACTTTTTTTCTCTAAGTCTGTTTTTTCCCTCGGAAAAAGCCAGTTTTTTCCGCTGGAAAAAGCCGATAACGGAAATATAATTGCATATAATATAATCACCAGACTCTAGTTTTCGTTGTTTAATTATGCAGTGCTGCAAAAAAATTGGGGCCTAAAACCAAAAAAAGAGAAAACAAAGGAAATGGGTATACCTTGCAATACATATTTTTCGACGTTACAAAAGATGCCGCAAACAGCACTCCAGTCAACATCCTCTGTTGAAATTTCGTTTTGACAGTTGCATAAGGGTTGTCCTGGTTAGAAATAAAAATGCCTATTATTAACTAAATACTATAAATTATGGCAAAAATGATGAATCATTAGCATTTAGTGATGTAATATGTGTAATTTTTTCCTATTCTCAATTTTTTTCATTTTCTTCCATTACATAGTGGTATTCAGATAAAATTAGTTCTTATAATTCCAGAACATCCCACAATATACCTCTTCGTAAAGTATGTATTGTATATGAATATGAACTTGTAAAAAATACAAAAACTGCAATGTGAGAGTATACTAACATGTAAAACCTAAGAAATTGGATTTTGGTCATCTGAACGCGAGCGGAGCCGCGTGCAATGCTAGTCCTAGAATAAAACTTAACTTACCCAATCCATTAGCGCAAAGAACGGGGCAAACGTTGACTCTTGGATATCCATATTGCTCATCAGTTCTGTTGACGTTCGACAATGCTGATTCCAGGCCGACGGGCAACATGTCCTGGCAAGTACTCCCACAGACACTTCCACCAAGACCTATAGGAAATAAAAATCACTGTAATATATAACGTTTTCAACAAAAAAAACATGAGTTTTGACCGACTTTAAAAGGTGATTTAAAAAAAAGTTGTTATTAATTCTTTGGCAATTCTAAATTGATAATCTTTTCTAATTAATCAGAAATTTGATTAATCTATAAATATAATTTTGAAAAACATTTATGTAAATGTAATTATCCAGTGGGTGACTGGGGATCGATTCTTTTTTAAGGAATTATAAAAATCGTTAGGTACACAATTGCCTAAAATATCGCGTACCGTATACCTACACAAAAAATACTGCTGAATTGAGTAGGTACTTCTTTCTTTTTGAAGACAGTCAAAAGAACGCCTTGTCATCTCTGTCGGTGACAAAATAGAAGGCTCGTTTTTTTACAAAATATGTTCCGGCTAATCTCCAAAACGGCTGGGCCGATTTTGACGGGCAGATAGCTGATGTTACAAGGAATAAAATGGGTACTTTTATTTTAGAAAAAGAATTAGGATTCCGCGCAAAAATATTAAAACGTACCTATGGACGCACCCGAGTGAAGCAAGGATAAATCGCAAGTATTTAATGAAATTATAACCTAACCTAATTTTTTTAAATAACAAGAATTAAACGCCTCCGTGGTTAGCTTCCGGTAAATCAATTGTTAACTGCCGTGCCGGCATGTTCGCGACCGTTGAAGCGTTCTTTTTTAATTGTAAGAAAATGTTTTTGGTTTATCTCCTTACCTCATAATTAAAATATTTCCATATAACAAGGCATTGAAAGTTCAAGTATAATAATGACCCAGATTCCAAAATAAAACAGTGTAAAAATACAGATTTTTTGCTTTTAAACCTTTGTTTTTAAAGTCGGTAAAAATCAGGCCATGATCTATATCTTTTCAAACATTAACCGTATTTTAATGTTACTGATATACTATAAGATTGGCCCCAAATTTCAAATCAATATTAAAAAGTCAATAAAAAATATTAAATTAAATGAATACCAGTATTAAATAAATAAATAAATATGTTGGGACATTAACACACAACACCGTCTAGTTCCATGGTAAGCTACTAGGCTTGTGTTATAGATACCAGATAGTTGATACACTACACATATATAAACTTTAAATACATACATATTATAAATTTAAACACCCATGACTGGAGTACAAACATTCGTGCTCATCACACAATAAATGCCCCCAGCGGGACTCGAACCCGCGACCGCTGGCACAGCAAGTAGAGTCACTACACACTGAGCCAAACGTTTCGTCGAATATATACCTACATAGGTATTAATTGCTCTTACGCTCTATAACATCGACAATATTAACATTCTAGCAGTCAAATAATCATAGGTACATATTTTTAAAACAATACAAACTGGAACTATTTTAATTAAAAAAAATATTTTAATTCATTTTAATGTCTACACCTTTTAAATATATAGCTAAAATATTATTATTTACATACCTCAATTTATGTTCCATTGTAAACACAAAAAAAAGACAACAAAAATCACAAAAATAAAATAAAAACCTGAGTGGCACAGGTCTGCACACAAGCTCGCTCTCGTGGGGACTGTCGTTGGTATGGGGTTGCTCTCCTTACGAAACTGAGTGAGATATATCTTATTCAGTTCCCCACCATCGTATTTCAATTGCAAAACAACTTCGGGGGTGTCCCGTCTCTCTTTCACGATCATTGGTTGGGTATTCCCCTCAAAGCCCGATTGGTCGACACAGATACAGGGTGTTTGGAAAAATGCAACGCCCAAAAGGGTGAAGATCGTTTTAACTCGCATCTGAAACAAAGGATACCTTTAATTCTTTTTATATTGTCATTAGATGCTGTTATTTTTCATGCAAACATTTTGATTAATTTTTTTTTTTATCTCTCAGGTATTTATTTAAGAATTCTCTTTGTGAGAAACGCAATTACGTCAAAAGACACTTAAAAATTTAGTTGATTTCTTCTTCATTTTTCATTACGTTTCTCTCTAATGCCTCGTTGTGTTTTAAGTAGTAAAGGGCAGATATCTGTTTGCCTAATACTCTTGTTTCGCTTACCATAATATAACTTACTTAATTTGAAGAAATTAAAAAATACACGTATGACTGTAAAATACGCATAAGTTTTTGTGCCATACTTATAACAAAAAAAAATCTATTCCACGGGAACCGTACATTTTTCCTGGATAAAAAGTAGCCTATATGCTATTCCAGATTATAATCTATCTCTGCGCCAAATTCCATCCAGCTCCGTTCAGCCGTTCTAGCGTGATTGAGTAACAAACATCTAAACATCCATCTAAGCTTTCACATTATTTATATTAGTAAGATGAGACTCAACAAAACGAATCATATAAGCCCATTATAAAGATACTACTATCCATATGTTAAACATTTTTACTATAATACATCAAAAATACCGAGATTTTTGTTTCAGAAGACATAAAGAAGGAGTTTAACCACTCCTTTTCTATGTGCACTAGTCAAAGGAAATCGTCTGAAAATATAATAATTACACTGAAACTCAACAAAAATGGGAAATTTCAAACAAAACCGTTCGTTAGCGCTCCAACTTCCTTTCCTCTTGTCATAAATCACAATTTTTCCAGTAAAAACGTTTGAGGTTGAGAAACTTAATGTAATAACTTAAGTTTATAAAACTCCACCGCAAAGCTTTTTCCATCGTATATTTTTAACCGACTACTATAGGTATTTAGTTTCTTTTATATATTTTTATAGGTTACTAGCATTGCCCGCGGCTCCGCCCGCGTTCAGGTGACCAAAAACCAAACTTAGGTTTTACATATTAGTATGTACAGATGTCGAAACCAGATAAATGTGAGTTATAATTTACAAATTTTCATTTAAGATCAAACGATTCACTTGAATATCCGAAAATAACAACTGTTTGTTTATAGTTTTAAGTTTTCAATTCTGTCGGCAGTCCTCATGACTGTTTTTTTTTTTAAATTGATTTGAAAATTTATATTCGAATTGAAAAATTCCTGTAAAAAGTCGATTAAACTGCTATAAAATCGGAATTGAATAAGCTGAAATAACATCCTACGCTGCACTGATCATCAGATAAAACCTGAAATCTAGAACTCTCGTAATTGAAAAGTATGGAGAAGGCAATCTTTTGAAAACTTGTCTTCAATACCAAATATAATAACTCTTATTTGTATAAACATAAAGTTCAAACTCCCCGTATCTTTCATATCTATAAGGCTTTAATGGAAGCTAGTTGTGTTAGAAAAGGACAACCAAATCTGTTTATGTGTTAGAAAGAGATAGCATACTCAGTATTGATCGAAACTCCTTATATACAAGAGCTATGTGCTTTGTTATATATGTTTTAGCCTTTCTTCCCTTGTTCATATGTTTAAAGCAAATAATAGTGTCCAAATAGATAAATAACTTCATTCTTTTTGTATTGGTATACTTATGTAGAAAACGTGAATTATGAATTCTATTACTCTTTTTAACCGATGAAAAAAAGGAGGTTTTGAATTAGACACGTACATTTTTTTTATGTTTGACCGTATATATCTAGTGTTCGCTCTGTGGTTTTTTATTTATAGTTCTATTCAGTCATATGGAATTTTATTTATATTTTAATAATGTCATTGTGATAGCCTTTTAGAAATCTTCATTTTGACACCCCACACGATAGGCTTGGAAGAAAATAAATCGATTAGTTTCCGTAACGATAGTCTATACTAATATTATAAAGAAGTAAAGTTTGTGAGTTTGTGACGTTGTAGGGGGTAATCTTTGGATCTACGTAACCGATTTAGATGAAATTTGGTAAAAAGATAATTTGGGACCCTGGGAAGGATATAGAATAGTTTTTATCACAGAAATCATCTCTTGAGGGGGTGAAAATGGAGATAAAAAATTGTTATGGGGAATCATATAAAAACGTCAAACATTCGCGTAATTCTAAGAAAGTATTATTTTTTATATGACATTTGTCTTTTTTCATTACTATTAATATTATAATCGATTTTATACGTAAATTTACTAATTCTGTCAAAAGACTTTGGCACGAAAGGCAAATTCAAACCACTTGCATCAAAATACGAGTAGGTATATAGCATACCAATGTCATGTTTGCTGCAAACTATAATTACCCACAAGACGAGTACAACCGTTTACTGGTTAAATATCTATTATCTACTATTAAGTAGGTACATTAGGTTTCTATATGTCTGTAAAGTAAATAATGATAATAATAAAGTAAATAATGATTAGATTATCATCTCCCTGCCAATTTCTCAATCCTTTGGGGTCGGCGCAGTACATCTTCTGTACTGCTGGTAGGACTTGGCAAAAGTTTTAAAACCGACGCCTGGATGATATCAACCCTCCATGGGAATGCTATTGTTTAATAATCTAAAATATGGTAATATAAACATGCTAATATAAAACATGGTATTTTATATATTAAAATTAAATGATATTTAATTAGTTATAGCCTTTTATTTGTACCATTATAATCCTCAGTGGTTTAAATATGTTGTATGTTGACATTAACACACAGCACCATCTTGTTCCGTGGTAAACTACGAAGCTTTAAGTTTTTAACGTTATATTTATTGAAAAAAAAATGTAAGCCTTATTAATGATACTAAAAGAAAATCATTTATGTATGTTTATTAAAACTAGTTTTTGTCATAACAAAATAGAATTACCTATATATATATATATATATATATATATATATATATATATATATATATATAATATATAATATAAAACCGAACTGTTTCGATTTTTTTAATGACAATACTAAAGTTCGTTCGTTCAATATAATATAATACCTACCAAAAAAAAAGAAAATCGATTGACAAACAGGTGAAAACTGACTAAGAATGACTGTTTTGTCTTTGCCTATTTAGATATAGATTTACCTGCCTTTGTGACGAGAGACATAGAAAACGTATATGAAACATTTTAGATTATTTTGCCTATCTGTGGCAAAGTTTTGTTAAAGTTTTATATTTTTTTAATTTATTTCAGGGAAACAAACAGTACAATATTACATAAATAATAAATAATAATAGGATAACACGTAAACCAACCAAGTTTCTACATATTAAAACTACAAAGGTAAGAAGCAGAACAAATTGAAAAAAAAAAACGAAAAAGTTATAACTAAACAAAAAAATACAAAAAGAGACACTGATTAACATTGATAATAAAAAATAAGATTTTTTTTTATTAAATACATAAAACACAAAATTATCAATCAAACAAAAAGTGATTAATACCATTTTTGAAACATATTGGAAAATATGTCTATACTTGTAATTTTTTTATTATACTTATTACATATATATTATAATAATTACTAAAATATTCTTTAATATGGGTTTCATGAATCAACAGAGTCCAAGTTCAAAGAATTTACCAGAAGCCATTGAAAACTTTAATTATCCACCATGGTGTAGCCCCATCGATAGGTAAACTTTTTTTTTAATATCTCCTAGACTTTTCATACTTACCATATTTACAATTAAGAGTACTTAAAATCGAATTTCGATTCGTTAAACTAATGAAAGCGCGGTAAAAATGTACTATACGATATGTTCAATTCCTATTTATTGGAAAAAAATCAAATTAATTCGATACTTCAAAAATTAGAAATTTTATTTTCTGATAGACATAATGTTATTGTGTTTTTTGATCACATAATACAATTAAAAAAAAATTATATTGAATTTTAACTTACATTCGAAAGCGATGTTGTGATGAGGAACGATGAAGCCAAATAATACCACATCTGATGTTGAATAATTGAATAAGTGAAGACTAATGTAGCATAGAGTATTTTCATTTATTATTAACCCCAAAAAAAGCATGATATAAGTTCGATGGTTGTCTGTCTGTGTCAGTGGCGTATCTCAAATGGGTGAGTGATATCTACCTTTAAGAGGGTGACACCCGTTCCCTACGTTTTCAATATACAAAAAAAAAACTGTTAGGGATAACACCCGTATGTACGGGTGTGTGAAAAATATGACTCTTGTCGAACCCATTTTCTTACATTCAATAATCAATGAAAAGAAGAGAATAGATTTTCTTTTGTGGTGACATAGATGGTTGCCTCGGTGCCAGGCTTGCTAAAAAAACTACTTGCGTTTGATGAAAATCTATCGAGCTATCAAATGTTATAGATTTTTCCGAACTGATGTAAGAGATTTTATACACAAGAAGCAAGGGGTCATATTACATGCCTTTAAGGAATATAAACCTAGGTCCGTTAGTCCGTACTTAGCCAGCTTGGTGGACTATGGCCTGATCCTCCTCGTATTGAAGGGAGGCCCACTCCCAACAGTGGGACGTTAAAAAGGGCTGAATACAATACAATATGGGCATAAAAACATACATTACTCTGTGTAAGACTTAATTCAGATAAGGCAATATTGACACACAGCTTTATGCACTGAAAAGCTTTTATGATAACGTATCGTGCCCGATATAGAATAACCTTGGTGAAAAGCTCTAACTGAATGGGCTATTGCCAATTTTTTTAATTAACAAGTTTTTTTGGCAATATCAACGTTCAATATTCTTTGTTCTGTCACTTACAAGCATGTCATTTGGGCACAATTTACTTCGCCAATATCGTGTAGAATGGAGAAGACACGGTAGAGATTGAGATATCACAGAATCCTATCTAAAATGTGTTCAGCGCTTGTCAAACGTGCAACTTGACCATTTTATATGAGATCTTGTGATCATCATTGTGTAGAATGTATATATATATATATATATTATATATATATAT